AAGTTGTGCTCTATTTTTTTTTTATTCTCAGAAGGTGTAGGAAGAAGGAAGGAGATTAAAGAAAAGGGCGGGAAAGCTCCTTTTAGATCTCTTCCTACCTACTGAGTGACAAGGGCCCACCCCCAGATTCCCTTATTATGTACTAGGTCCCTTATTGCTACATATGTATCCCTTTATGTCCGTCCCCCCTCCCTGGGCAGCAGTCATGTCTTTCCCTTCCTTATTCAGTCCAGGGAAACCTTTATAGAAATATCTACATTGACATTGTAACTTTCTCAGGGGGAACAACAATTAAAATAATATATATATATATATATATATATATATTAGCCACTCTAATTCGTGGTGTTGTGGTAGTATGGATTGTAGACTCTACATCTTGAATGTTCTTCTTTATGGTAGTATTAAGTTCTTTCAGATCCAAAACTATTCTCCCTTTCCCAGAGGGCTACGGGGAAATAAAAACTGGTGAATAGATGCCTTGGAATTCTTCTTGAGGGGAAACTGGCATGATGAATGTTGTCATAAGAGTGTTCTGATGCATTACCTCATTAGATTTTCTTTTGAACTGATGATCTGACCATGATGATCTGTTTTTTGAGGGTTTTCTTCAAATTCAAGAAAATAAACATTTTCTTTAACAGGAATAATCCATTGGTCTTGTATATGCAAGGTCTAGATCTATGTGAACTTTCCAAGTTTGACTCCTACCACTTTTATCTGGACTCTTCCCCCGTTAGAAGGTTTTATCTCACCCTCTGCTTCTGGTTCCTTTGCTGGATGACTGACCTTGTTGTCCTTTCCAGTATGGAGTTCTGGTATATTACATTTCTAGTTTGTAAGATCTAGAGTATGGAAATAAAACTTGGTCTCTCTTTCCTCTTCACCATCCTCCAGAGTATATTTTCACTCTTCTATCTTGGGGAAAGAAGTGCCACATTCTCTTTTACTGCTTTATAAATAGCTTCAACTAAAGACTTGCAAAAGGGAGATTCCCTTGAAATGGCAGAAAACATAAAATAGTTTGGGATGAATTGTCTGCACCCCATGTATTATCCATAAGGTTCTTCTTGCTGCTAAGGATTGTCTCATGGCTTTATTTATATCTACTGAATCCTTTGTTGGGAATTATAATGCCAATCTTCAATCTTTAGAAATCTCCAGAAGGGTCTCTCTGTTTGTTCTGCTTGCAATGTCTTCACTCTGGATTAAGATGTAAGGGCTACCACTGTTTTCATAGCTCAACCTAAAGAGTAGTAAGTCTTGATGAGATTCTGCATGGGGTCTCTTAATTGGCCACACTGCCTATTGGTAAGACTGTTTCTTAGCCACTTTAATGATGATAGCTTCCACTTTCAGAGCAGTATTCCAGTTCTTTGTGTCTTTAGAAAGAAATAGGTATAATGTATTAAACTTCCCTTGTGTAGATATTCTTTTCTATGGTTTGTTCTGTTCTGTTTCCACAATATCTTTGATAGCATATACCAGAACTTTATACTGGAAAGCATGATGTACTGGAAAAGGGGCCCTTTTCTTATGCAGATCTTCAAAGTAAACATCAGACTCCCTGCATTCACCTTTATCCTGTGATGTACGCAATGTGTCTCTTATGAGATTAATCAAATTATCTACTGATTTTCCATCAAGCTAATATGGATATTCCATAGAGTCATCTTCCTCCAAAGATAAAAAATCTCTATGAATATTTGTGTCAGAATAGGAGATTGAGGAATCCTCCTTGCACGTTTAGTCTGTTTTCAGGTATGACTTTCCAGTCAAAATAAAACAAAGAAAAAAACAACAAAGAAAAAAACATATACTTATCAGTAAACTGAAACAGCTTTCCACCGAACACCTCCCAAATAGTGTTCCGTCTAAACAAGCCAAAAAATACAATACATGTGGGATTCAGCTGGTATACCTAAAAACAATGAATAAAAAAGAACATAACATAATATAGTTTGTGGAACAATTAACATCCCCTGCTAAAGGTTGCACTCACGAGAATTAGAAGTAATAGGTGCTCTAATGGTGCCTCCCCTGATGTCTAGAGGGGCTGGTATCTCCCTCTTAGGATCAAGTAACACTCAGTATCATAAACCATGCAGGACTCCGACAGGTAGATAAGTTGGAAAGAGATTTATTGATAATATATAAAAAGCAATAAAAAGTAAATCTGATCTTATGTGTTTCATCCCACTTATGGGACTTCCTCATAGACCAATATTCTATAATACAGTTATGACAATAATGCTCCCAAAAAAGCAATCTAATTCCACCTTCCCATCAATCCCATTAAATAGGGCTAATCCCTTCAGTTCATTGGTGGTTCCAATGGTTGTCTTCTCTTTCATCCATCCTATTGGTGGTTCTCAGATTCTTTTCACCTGTTTCATGATCGAGGATAGTTGATGTTATAATAACAGCTGATCGGCATTCTGAGATTGGCAAAACCGGAAGTGACATATCAAACATACTTCCGTGCGTTCCAACTTGCGTTCCAGCTGTGTGTTCCACTGTGGATTCAGGAAGTGGATTGTTCTCCCCCTGGTGTTCTCCAAGGGGATCAGTTATGGCAGTCAAAAACTAAACTCTGATCGATTAGAGAGTTATATCTGAAAAGAAAGGCATCATTTGAACACTTGTTTGATTTAAACGAAACACATAAGATATATAGTCTCTAAAAGGCAATATAGCTAGTATTGCAATATGTAAGCTATACATCTTTGTTTTGCATCCTTCATATTTTTGTTAAACAAACCATATACACAGGCTTTAATACTAGATATTCTCATTATGCTAGCTGATCTTTACAATGAGTTCATATAGTGAAAATATAAATAAAATTAAAATATTGCCACAGATATCCATTTCTTTTATGACCATCCCTATTATAGTCAACTTCAGGGGTCTTACATCAAGATTTTTTCATAATATTTTAAAAGACCTTATATCTACCAAAATCTAAATATTATTTAAAACAATCATTTGTGTTGAGAGGAAAACATGATTCCTTTTAAGATTAAATTACAGGAAATACATCAGTATCAGAAAAATTGAGCAAGAAACTGGTCATACAACCCAATAATGAATTGAATATTTACAGAAAACAAATTATAAAATATTTACAAAAAACAAATTAAATCTATGTCAACATTCAGTCCCTGTGATTCCAAAGTACACAACTTATGAATCCAGAAGGTTTCTCTTTTGGGACAATTTTCTGACACTATTCCCTCCTCTCCCCTAAGGTGAAACCCTCTCTATACCAAAAGAGCAAAAAACAGGTCGCAAGAGTATTCTGAGAATGGACATCAGCTGATATAGCCTGCCCTTCGGTGGGTCCCCGCTCAGAACTCAAGCTGGTTTTAGCTCATCTTGTGCCATTACAGAGAGAACATATCTGACGCATATCAGACTGGTCCCACCCATACAGGCAGTCCAGATCTGAAATGCCAGCAAGTTCTCTCTGCACAAGAAATACAGCAACCCCAGATGATCGTTTCAGCTTTGTTAGGCAGTGAGGCATAGCTAATATCTCTCTAGGCACCATGAGCAAGGGGTCCACGTCTGGATTATCCTTTAAACTTATGGAGAGCAAAAAAACATTTTTGTAAATATTATTAATATGTTCCAGAATGCAAGTTTTTAAAGGCCTCGTTGTACAGCCAATGTATTTTTTGCTGCACGGACACTGCAGCAAATAAACCACAAAGTCTGTGCGGCATCCAACCTCCATTTTTATACAGAAAGATTCCCCAGTTACTGAGCTTCTAAAAGTATTAGTTCTTACAAAATTAACTGTTGAGCAAGCCTTACAGCTATTACACCCTCTGATCCCTTTTGGATACTCGGTCTCCCTTCTAGTGTTAGATTTTAATGCATAACTGGGAGCCAGGACGTTTTTTGAAATTATGATTCTTTCTATATATTAAAGTAGGATGTTGTGGTAAAGAGCTTCCCAATATCTTCAAGTGAGACTGACCAATATTTTTGTAGACCTTTTTTGATATGTTGATGGTTAACATTGTATTGGGTAGTGAATGCATATTTAAAAGAGTCTCCTGGATCCTTTTTCGGTTTATTTATTAGTAATTTGTTCCTTCCTATCTTTTTTGTTACTCAGATTTCTTTTTCTAAACTATTCTTGTTATATCCCTTATTTATTAATTTATTTGTAATATATGCTGATTGAAGTTCAACATTTTTGGAATAGGAACAGTTACATCTTACCCGCATAAATTGGCTCTTTGCTTTACCTTTAAGCCAGGCCCTATGGTGGCAGCTCTTATTGTGGACATATCCATTGCCATCTGTGTGTTTAAAAAATAATTTTGATTCAACGTGATTATCTCTACAGAACAGTGTCACGTCTAAAAAAATTAATGGTGGATTTATCCCAAAACGGTGTGAATTTGAGATGATATTGGTTATCATTAAGATATCCCACAAATCCCCAAAAACAAAAAAAAGACCCTTTCCAAATAATAATAATGTCATCAATATACCTCCGCCACAACACCAGGTTCTCACTCCAGCCATGACCAGACCACACGAAAAGATCCTACCATCTTCTCATATATGTGTTGGCATTGCTGGGGGCGAACCTGGTGCCATGGCAATCACTGTGATTTGTAAATAATATTTATCATTAAAGAAAAACAAATTTAGTTTTAAAATAAATTGAACTGAAATGACAATAACATTTCTCACCTCTGGGGATATCTTAGGATCTTTAGCCAAAACATAATCTATAGCCTCAAGTCCCAAACTGTGCTCAATAACATTATACAATGAAGTAACATCGAGTGTTGCCCAACTATATTCTGGACTCCACTCGATGCTTTCCATTTCTTGCAAAAAATAATTTAGTGTATTTAATATAAGATGGTGCTGTTTGTGCATGTTTGCAAAAATTAATCAACAAATTCTGATAAATTGGCTGTGATGGAATTAATCCCACTGATTATTGGACGCCCTGGCGGTTGTAATAAATTTTTATGGGTTTTGGGTAAAAAGTAAAAAATAGGAACTGTAGTGTTATGTTGTAATATGTATTTAAAATTAGGTTGAGAAAATACGTTTTCTATTTTAGCTTGTTTCAATAGTTGTTCTAATTAGTTGTTCTAATATTTTTGTGGGGTCTCCTTTTAAAGTATTTTATATGTTTTGGTATCCCCTAAGATGTTTTGTGCTTCCTGAAGCTAGTATTCAGTAGACATAACCCCCCCCCCGCCCCCCTCCCCTTGTCGGCCTCTTTAGTAATAATACCCTTTCTCTTCATAAGGTTGTTTAGGCATAATTCCTCTTCTTTGGTTACATTTTTTGTCAAATATTGTTTGTGGTTATTGAACAGAGCTCTAAATTCCTTATCAACAATTTGTTCAAAAACTGCTAAACAGTGACCTTTTCTTTGTATTGGGGAGAAATGGGATTTTGGCTTAAAATGTTTTCTTTGAGGATCTTCATTTTGTGTATCTATTAATGAGGGAGGTTGCATAAGGAAATGTCTTCTGATCTGTCATAGATGTCATAGATCTGATATATTTTTTCAGGTCAATATACAAATCAAAGTAATTTCCCTGTCGGTTAGGGGCAAACTTCATGCCTTTTTCTAGTACTGAAATTTCATCATCTGACAATAAGATACCTGATATATTGAATATACATTTTTATATCTCATTTATAGCTAGGTTGTTGTGTAATGACATATGTCTGTCTAATCTTCTAATCTGATTCTCTTCTGTTTTACTTGGAGCATGCAGTATCGATTGGGATGTTTTTTTCTTTGGGTGCTCTGGCCCTTCCTTGAAAATTTTCTTCCCCATCGTGGTAGTGGACATTCCTCCTGTTCTCATCACAGTCGTCCCTAACTATCTGGGCTTACCATGACTTACCAGCCATGACTTACCAGTCATCTATTTTGTTCCTGAAGCCACAGCCTTAGCAATAAGGTCCATCAAGTTAGCAATAGGTATCTCTGGTGAAGTGGATGCACCTTCATTGGAGATTACTGAAGCAATTTTTTCACACATTTTTTCCCTCCATCACTATAGACAGGCATGTACAGCATCACCTTCTTTTGTCTCTATCATGAGTTGATTCTTTCCTCTCAGGCTGTCTCAGGCTGCATTATATATAATAGATATAGCCATAGGCACTTTTTAATAAATTTTTAGCTGGAATTCAAAACTCACCTTTTACTTCTAACTCATGTCATTTGAGGAAGAGTGTGTGTGCGTGTGTGTGTATGTACCAGTGTTTATGTGCCAGTGTGTATACCTGTGTGTCAAGGTGTGTGTGTGTGTGTGTGTGTATGTATCAGTGTGTGTATCTGTGTCAAGTTGTGTGTATCTTTGTATTGTTGTGTCTGTGTGTCTGTATGTGTCAGTGTGTTTATATGTCTGTATCTGTATCTATGTTTATGTTGATCTGTTTTAGTATGTATGTATGTGGCAGTGTATGTGCATTCATCCCAGCAATAAAACACCAACACAACATGCAAATGCATCCCTGCAGACACAAACATTATATAAAAAACACCCCGAATTCAAGTTCCAAAATTATATGCTAACGATCAAACACCAATACTACACACAGATTTACATCCACATTTGAAAACCAACACTGCATCCAAATACACAATTGCACAAACATGCAAACATTACATACAACACACCCCTATATTAAAACGCTAAAATCATATTCAAACACCAACTCTACACACAAAAGAGCACATGCTCCTAAGTACTACAATCTGTTTACTATCTGTAGAAATTAGTGTATATAACAACATTTGTTAAAAAAACAAAAACAAAACATTGCACTCAGTTAATTAAAAGGTTTTTGCTATGGCACAATTTTTTTTATTTTTTTGGGGGAGGGCAGGGGGGGGGGGAGTTTGGGGGGGTTCCACAATGTTTTCCAGTAAAAATATTAATTGGGAATCCCTAGTCTAGATGGATTTAAACAGTTACAAAAAGGCACCAATGATTTTTCCTCTGGCATCTTGCACCTATGTTTCTGTTTTTTCTTGACAGGCGCATAGTCGTAATATGGGCAGGTGGAATTCCCCCCCAAAACTTACCCCAAAAACACACTGACACTGATGTGTGGGTCAATATGTTCACAGCTTTATTAATATTGATAACAATAAATTAAAGTCATTGCCCAGTCCCCATCCCGCCATATATCATCATATGTCCCCAAGTGACCCCAAAGTGCCAATGCCCCCAGAAGTGGAAACTGCTCTAGAAAAGCCAAGTTGCACATCAAGGCACTCGCCACCCACCCCCTCGGCCAGGGTGCTGCACACCAGCATCCCTCAAAGTATGCCCCGAAGCCCTTGCTACCTGAAGCGTCTGTGAACAGCTCCAGATTTGCAGCCATAACCCTCGTCTGCTGGAAAATCACTGTGCTGTTAAACCTCCATAGCAACACATCCCAGACCTCCAAGTCAGCCTTCATAGCAGAGGTAACCCGAACAAAATGATGAGACGAACGGATTACAACCGTGGCCCTGGCCAGACTTCTACTGAAAAGGCAGTGTGTGCCTACACCTGCGCGGCACAGCCGACTGCGCCTCTGCTCTTCCTGAGATGGCCGGAGGAGGCCCAGACGATGCTAGGGGGTGACTCTGCTCCTGCGCCCCCCCTTTACTGGCACCAACCCCCCCGTGTGCTGCTGTAGCCCTGCGCCACAGGCTGTGACGCCGTCATGCAACGTCCATGCCGTGCCGAACCTGTGGATCTCCTGAGGCTGTCCTCCCCACTGCTCCCTAGGCCACCAGCCCGGTCCCCTGCGTGACTCCCAAAGGGCCCTAGCCCAGTCCCAGTGACAGCCCTAGTGGAGGAGGGCCCCACTGCATTAACCCTGGACAGAGTTATTCCCCAGGCCCTGTGATGGTCCCTGAGGGGCCCGGTGTCCCAATGAGCTGCCCCACACCCCCTGATGTCACTTGCCTGCTTGTGTGCTGCTCCTCCAGTGACACCGCTCCAGGTCCTCCTGGCAACAACAGGCTCACTATGCAATCTCCCACCGCCAGGGGCCACCCTCCTGGTGGACGGCCCTGTGACCAGTAGTCCTGGGCTCCCCCTGCCGGTTGCAGCAGAGCCTGTGCCTCACCCGGCTTCCCCTGACTAGGGAGCCGCACTGCCGTCCGCCTGGCCATGCATCTCCAATCCGCCGTCACCTCTCCTGCTCCCGCCGGCAGGCCTGACATCCCGGCCCAGGCTAAGCCTCTGCGGCGGTATCCTCATACGTGACGGGTGGCCAGTCCCGCTGCCATTCCGGATCCCCGCCAGGTCCGGTCCCAGGCGCTCCTGCACCCATGCTGCTCCACAATCCTGCGGTGCCGCTCTCACTTCAGCCAGGAGCTGCTCCACTGGATCCATCTTCTGGGCCTTGAATCTGCAGCAAAAAAAAGCAGAAATCCTACCAGGCCCAAGCTACAGGCTGAAACTGCACACAATTTAGGCCAGGTAAGCAGATTAAAAGTGCCTACTTCTAAAATGGCTGCCTATTTATACTGGGCAAACCCCCTTAACACTCAACTCCACTCCCACATAGCTCCTTCCTCCTATGCCCGCCTCCTAGCTCTGTCAAGCCCCTATTCAACTAAGCTGCGCTTGTTCTATAGGGTTACAGTCTTTTTTCACTGTTCATGACTGCAGTTTTTTTAACCATTCCAGGCTTCTTTAGTGGTTAAATACAGACATGGAGGAAGTAGGTATGTTGTATATCATACACACTAAGAGGACTCTGAGAAGAATGGAGATTTTATTCACTTTTTGTGATGTTTTACATTTTGCTGACATGACTTGTCAGGCAGGTTGTTTAAATTATATTTTATATTAAAACTTCAGATATTTGTCTCCAAGGTATCTGTTGGAGACATACAGCCCATCACTTAAAAAAAAAAAAAAAATGCTTGGAGCTGTTAGCAGAACAAAAGTAGTTTATGTACAAATACCTGTTCCAAAGGCTTGGGTTATCAGGAGTTATCATGTTAAAATTTGGTCCTAAACATCTAACATATATATAACAATATGAACTTTTATTAAACCTTGAATGTTTCGATAAATGCTGATTAAAATATTTGCTTTATATGTATTATATAATGTTTACAAAAGCTATGCTATAAATCACATGCTTAGTGTTACATCTGATTTAATGTATAATCTCAAAAGCCCATTTTGTGGGTATAGATCTAATATATTTTTTAATGCAGTGTATTTGCACAGCTGTAATATTTACTGCAGTTCAATAAACTTTTATAGCTCAGATCTAATCAATTTTCTGCGTATTCTGTTTTATGTAACGGGCTGTTTGACAAGTTTACATTGTTCCTGGTGTATCTTGTAACAGCTCTCCTAGAATCATATGCCTTTTCCAGATGTTCAGGTATTTCCTTTTAATGTTCTTATATTCTTAATATCCGTGTGAAGTTCTGTGATAAACATTAGATTAAACTTGTATATGTTCCCTGTTCTTACATATTTTTCGTATTATTTCTCTAATAAACTTCAGCTTCATGCACATACCTTTGAAGGTAAAATCAATTTCCTTAGATTAATTTCAGCTAAGGGCGAGCTAAACATATGTTTGATAGCCACTTTAAGACTTGTCCATTATTTGCCAGGAAAATACAATTTGGGCAAAAGGAACACAAGACACGTTATTATAGGTCTGCAATAAACATACATTCGATTGTACAACAAAGGGTATTGCAACATTGATTTGAAGTAGAGATGTATGACTACATGGGCAAAATATATACTCTACATTAGGAACAGCTATTGCAAATTAATTTAGTGTTACAGATTAGAGTAAAGGTGAGTACTCTTACAGAGACACTCTATAGGGGTTTCAACCTCAATATTCTCTAACCTTTAGTTCCTGTAGTTCCTCAAGTCTCTGGTTATTCTCAATCATCAAATCTCAAGTATCTTTTTCTTTACAGTGCCCATCTCTATTCATGCTTTTCTGTACTTAGTGTGCCTTTATACTCATATTCCAACAACTTAATTTATTTGTACTAATGGAGTTGTAATGTGCATAGCAAATTCTTCACTGTCAGTTAGTTGTTTTGTCTTGGCAGTATATCCATTTTATAAACACATAAAAAATAAAAATAAAAATGTTACTTGGCACTACCCCAAATCCCTATGCACATTTAAATAACTGGAGGGTTTTAGTGTCACTCCAATGGCAATT